TCATCTACATTTATTAATAGTAGATAATTTACCATTAAATCTTCCTATCAAGTTTAATTAAATTGATTAAGGGAAGCAAATTAAAACGGTAGATCGCGATACACCAAATGTTGGTGCCACTCTTTCACTACTCTGCCTTGCCTCTTCATGTATAAACGGTAAAACGAGGGCGGAACCACTTCAACTTCATAACTTTTCTTCTCGGAAAACAAAATGAATCAATTGATGGTGAGGTCTGTGTTTAGACATGCGATCACCGGCAGTAAGTATAGTCGCTACATATCGTCGGCCGCGGCGTCGCCGTTGTCGGCGGTTGCCGTTGTGACGTCTTCTGATGAGGCCGTGGTGGTGAGAGGCCAGGGTTTGGGGTTCCTCGGTGGGGCCCCTTGGAGTTGGAGGACGATGAGCACGGCGGCGGAGCCGGAGGCGAGGAAGGTTGAGAAAGAGAGTAGTACAGCGGTGCCGGGGAAGAAGAAGAACGAGGAGAGCGGCGAAGTTGTGGTGTCGAGCTATTGGGGCATTTCGAGGCCCAAGATTACCAGGGAGGACGGGACTGAGTGGCCTTGGAACTGTTTCATGGTAATCCTAATCTCTGTAAAATAACCTTCTAATTTCCTATGAGATTCCTGTTTGATGTTCTCTTTTGCGTGCGGTTAATCTTCATCTGTATGTAAAACGTTGTAGAACAGTGAGATAAAGATTTTCTAGTCTCTTGAAACGTTATAGATTGGCAATGGCTTTTTTCCTGTTACTTTTGTGAAATACCTTGAAGAACTAGATCTGTTGGTTGTTTCTTTTGTAATACTCTGATTTCTTTGCTCTTTCCTCATGTGTATGCACATGGGTCAACGTATACTTCATTTATTTTTTAGGATCTCGCAAAAATTTACTTGCCATTTCAAGTTGCATCTGGTAGAAATTTAACTTTAATTTTGTTTTTGTTACTCTGGTTCTCTCTCTCTCTCTCTCTCGATTGAAACTTAGCTGTCATGGTTCGTTTTAGAATTACTTATTTGATGTCGTCATGTGGAATCTTTTTGCAATGGCCAATGGTAATACTAAATGGTCTTAAGATTGTTGCATTTTTGTTTGAAGTTGACTTTCCGTGCGGCTGATTCGGTTTTTTGGAAATTTTTTTTTTGTCTTTGTTTTTCTTAAGTTTTGAATTTTATTGCAAAATTTTGTATAACCCAGAAGAACACGAGAAATGTGAAGTTTTCGCAGACGCTAAACTTTCAAATTCACGCTTGAATTTCTTCTCAAGAAGTTCCAATTATGACCCTAGCCCAAACCAATCAAGATACAATTATGATCCTGGTTTAGGTCCCCTTCAAGTGTGAACCCAAATCCCAATCATAATCGATAATTCAGCTCAATCACAATGTTTTTCAAATCTTTTGTTTTTAATATTAATTTAGTTAATATATGAAATTGGATTGCAATATGGATCCTACTAGTCTGACATCAAAGTCGATCCGGCATTGTTAAGACCACTGTTGGTGTAAGAATTTGAAGATTCACAATAACATTACTGTAGAGTGGTTGATCAAAATTGACGAAGGAATTGTTATGAGTAAGTGGAAGACAGCTAGATCGTGGCTTTGAATAAATAGGATATAGTAATAGATTTGGCGCACATCTTAGAATGACGACATGGTACGTAGGTGCTCCGTAGCTGTTATTTAGTTTTCATTTTGATCTCTTCTCCCCCCCCCCTCCCCTTTTTATAGATGTCATTTTAGTTTGGAAGAATAATTTTATTTTTTGTGTTTTTTCGTGAGGAATTTGGTTTTGCTTGTGGACAGCAGCATAGTTTTTTCAACCAAAAGATTCCAGAAGTTCTTTATTCTTTATGCGGATCAGTTCATTGTTAATTGGGAATAAGACCTGCGATTATACTTATTTTCTGATAACTTGTCCATTCCTCTATCTTAAGAGAGTATCGGATAAGTGTTTTGAGAGTATCCGAAAAGGTAAAGATTTTGCCAGAGAAGAGGACTTGAGGAGATGACAGTAATTGCTATAATTATATATATCTGCTACATTTTTTCTATAAGCAAATCAATGATTACTGGCTACTGTGTTTGATTAGTTTGAAAATTCACATTAGAGAACTAGGCGCAAGATTTGTCTACCATAGAGTAATAATTTTCTTATGTTGTATAATTCTGTAATTTTAGTGAAATATAAGATAGATTCTAGAATGTGATATATAAAACTTAATTATTTGTAGCATGTACCCCGATCCGCTCATGTCTTACTTTGTTTGAAAAAAAAATGCCATGTTCATGTATGTGTCCTGTCATGTCATTGTCCCTTATCAATATCCATGTTTCTTGTGCAGTTTTAATTGTGTTGAATCATTAGACCATAGCTTGTATTTGGAACTCTTTTATTACACTTTGATTGTGGTTAGAGTGAATCACATTTTTTTTCATTAGAATTAAAGGCCACATATATGTTTTGGCATTGATTGGATGATGGATTCTTGGTTGCTATTCCCTCTGATATAGTGATTGGAGCATCAAAATCCTAGTATATTTGTTATAAAAATGTTCTTGATTGGTGTTGTTCTTGATCCCTACATTGGCATTTGTATGATGCATTATTTCATAATCAAATATCTAATCACCTCAAAGCATACATGGCATATGTTACTGCTGATGCTATAGTTTGGGCTGAAAGAGGAAGTTCAGTTGACTTCACAGGCTATTGCTTATTGAAATATGCATGTAGATCACAATTTTAAGCCTATGGTTAGTTGCATATTTTGGGATGATTATTGAAATTTCAAAAGATGATGTGGCCAGCAATCTGTTTAAGATGCAACCTTTCATTCAAAATGTTTGCTCATCTTTTTTTGTTTTTCTTGTTTATCTCACTGGAAAAAATACCTAATCTGGACTCTGTGATTAGTTTTTCCTCATAACTTTCCTTTTCTTGCAGCCATGGGAAACTTATCAGTCAGACTTGTCAATAGACCTGAAAAAGCACCATGTGCCAAAGAATTTTACTGATAAATTTGCTTACAGGACAGTGAAACTCCTTAGAATACCTACAGATATATTTTTCCAGGTACGTCATCTTCTTAATTCTCTAACCTGTTCCAGTAGAATGTTTTGTTGAAAGCTGAAGATTACTGTCATTGAATTTTTTTTTTGTGCATTTGAGTTTGTCTTTCGATGATGGTCATATGCTAAAACATAGGGAAAATGACGTCTTGTTTTGTAGCTGGAGGCCTTTATGGATAATAGAATGGGATTTTTTTCATTCTCATATCCTACGCTACCATGATAGAAATTTATTGCCAATGTTGAATTTTTAATGTTTCCCTGGAGCAGATTCAAGGCATTCTAAGAAGAAAGTAACAGTCCCCGTTAATGGGGATCTAGGAGGGGAAGATTGGGTACAAACCTAGGTATAATGTGCACAAAGTAGCTGTGGTATTCTAACACGGTAGAAATTCAGAAAGAAAGGATTTTAGATGAAATTCCTGAGATGGAGAAGATCTCAATATGGATGCAGTGCCTTTGACTAATAGGAACTTCCCAAATCATTTATCTGAAAACCAGTGCAAGTTAAGATATTGGTACTTTCTCTGAAAATGCTTCCTATCATGATAAGTTACTTCCCACTCATGCAGCCTGCTAGATGGCTATGTGGCAATATTCTGCTTGGGAGTTCCAAAGGTTGAGTTTGATGTAGTGCTTAGTTTGTTGATTTTTTTGTACACGTGTCTGTGTTCTTAATAGGTTAATTTTACTAATGGAGATAAGTCAGATAAAAGTTATATGACGTTGTCTCCTTGATTGCTGTGAGAATGGTTTGTCAAATGTATAGTACCTGAAGTATTAACAATAATTGTTTATTCATTTCTTATTTAGGACAACTGTGTGGTTAGACATTCTAAAATTTACTATGCTAACTATTAAATTATTCATGCTGCTATTCTACTGGTTCTGGGATTTGATATGGATCCTTGGAAAGAGGAGTATGTTAGTTTGTCATTCTTTCTGCCATCTTCTTAGCCATGTGACTAACAGATTCCTATGTTTCAGCGTCGGTATGGATGTCGTGCAATGATGCTGGAAACTGTGGCAGCTGTTCCTGGTATGGTGGGAGGGATGCTGCTGCACCTTAGGTCTCTGCGGAAGTTTCAGCAGAGTGGTGGTTGGATCAAAGCATTGCTTGAAGAAGCTGAGAATGAGAGGATGCACCTGATGACTATGGTGGAGCTTGTGAAACCCAAATGGTATGAGAGGCTACTGGTTCTCACTGTGCAGGGAGTCTTTTTTAATTCCTTCTTTGTTCTGTACCTGCTCTCCCCAAAACTGGCACATAGAATTGTTGGTTATCTGGAGGAGGAGGCAATTCANCTTTTCTAAATATCGGTCGTTTTACACAATTTTTTTTATTTCATAATACTTGTCGTTTAATGAAATCAAAACATAATTAATATTTTTTCTTTCAAATTTACCCTTAACTTTTCAATGCATTAGATTAGATAAAGATTAAGTGTCTTTCATATTCTTTTCCTTTCCAATATGTATTGAATAAAGATATTTTAGTCTTGTGTAATTATTTTTTACTCATATTAAAGTTATTTAATAGCTTTCTTAATCCCTGTGCAAAAACCTTAAACGACAGATATTTAGGAACGGAGGAATTAATATTTATTTTCAAAATCAAATTTAATTAATTTTATCCATAATTCGTACCAAATTTGATTAACTTTGTTAATTAACTCAAATTTATCACAAATTTGAATCAAATCTAAATCAATTTAATTAACTAGATTAATTATCTCAAAATTGAAGTTAATTCCTATAATTTATTTAATTTTGTGCTAAAACTCAAATTTAGTTTGGAAACAAACTTAATTACGTGACAACCTAATATTCAATCACACAAAAAAATACACAACCCACTCCAACTCAACCCCACCTCCACTGTTTGGAAATAAGGTTTAGCTACCAATATTTGTGGATATGATTGGTTTGACTGCAAGTATAAGTTAAATTTAACCATGATAAGGGTAATATTGGTATTTTTAAAAAATGAGTTCCTTACATTAACAATTTTTTGACTGCAAACTGATAATTGGTAGAATTTGTTACCGATAACCAAAATAAAGGGAATTGTAATGTAATTTTTTATATGTGAAGAGGTCTCGTTGTTATTTGACCAAATTTCAAAGAAAATGAATACAAGTCATCCAAAAAAATAGAACAACAAAGCAAATAAAAAGCCACCAAAAGTAGTTGGTATATCCTTCTTTATGAAATGCAAGAGGATCGAGACCAACTTTGATACAAGATTTCCTCAATTTGTCCCATTCAAGATCAATCATTCATGCTCAATCCAAGTAGACCCCCTCAAGTAGGCTTCCACCTATACATAGGGAACCATTTAAAATTGATGGAACTTAGAATTTAAAATTATTAGATTAATGGTGATATAATCTCGCTTATTGAGAAAAAGAAAGTTTTAAATATATAACAAGTGATTATTCAGCAATAAACACTAATTTATATTATAGCCGATAGATTTTAATGACTATTCGCGTCAACCGATAGATAATCGTTCTTATTCCTAATATTTTTTGATGATAAGATGCTTTAATTTGAGGGAGAAATCAAACTTAATAGCTTGATGTCCCAATTAATTATACTTAACACGACTCATAATATAAAAGCCTGTGTGATTACAAAAACGGAAAAACGACAAAAAATGCTTAAGCTTTGTATATTTCAATCATGTTATTTTTCTAACTTAAAATCGAAAAAAATAAATTAAAAAAATTTCAAAAAATATTATACTTGCAAAACGTGTTATAGGAATTTTTAGTATTTAAAAAAAGCAAGTCGAATTTCTTGTTGGTCCCTCTCTAATTCCAGTAATAATAATATTGTTGGCACCTAATTTGCTGATTTAATCAATCATAATTATTGAATTGGCAGCGGATCCTAATAAATATTGGGACTCATTGTCAATTAATGATTATAAGCGATTATGTCAGCAAATTAAATCAAATTAACATGGTTGTTAATGTAAATTTCATTAACTATTCTCCATCTCACAACCCATATGTGGAATTTGCTAATGAGCCCCTCGTCTTTAATCTATATACTTTATGCCTCGAGATGAGATTAATTAGTTCAAAAAACAAATAGCTTACCTGTGACTTGTCAACATTTTTTCTTTAATAAATTAAGTTTCGTTGCTCTAATTTCCACAAACCTTGCTGTTAAAAGGTGTCAGTATCACTTTTGCATTTATTAAAAATTCTTGTGGGGTCTAATTGCAATTAAGTTTTGAAAGTGGCGTTTTACCTACCACGCAACTACCGCAGCCTCGGCATGCCAAACATGTTTTGTCTCTTTTTTTCTTCTTGTTTTGTGTATTATGGTCGGGATTTATGAGATTATTTCCGTATACCTCAATTAATTTATTATCCGATCTAGTCAAAAATATACCATTCGCACGAGGCTTAAAATATTAGTGAGAGATAAATTTTCATTATCTAATCTTAAAAAATTACTATTTTTTAAATTTAAAATATCTAAATTTATAATTAATTAAGACTATTTTTGGGGTTTAATATGTTTGTCAAAAATAAGGAGTTGATGATTACTCACAAAAATAAAAGAGATAATTCATACCACAATCTCCATAGGTTGTTGGAATAATTTCAACAGATACCTTCGTGTTCTCAAAAATTATACTACACTCCCTTTGATTGTGTTGAATTCCCTTTTCTTTATTTTTTAGTTTTTGTTTGGGGGTGAGGATGTTTAGGGGATTGTGTTCAATTTCAAAGAGAACTCTATTGTAAGAGCAACAAAATAGTTATTTAAAATATATTTAAATATTGTGTTCTCTAATTTAATTAGTCACTTTTTAAAATTCACTCTAATTATGTTTTCTATTTTAACTAACTATTTCAATTAAATTTAACTAACTTTCAATAATATAATTCAAAAATGTCACGTGGCGTAACACGTAAGTGCCATAATGATGATAGAGTATGATGATGTGTCGTGCCATAATGATGATAGAGCATGATGATGTGTCGTGCCACGTCATCAAGTTTTCAAAATTTAAATTTTACAACGGTCATATTTTTATGAAATATTTTATGCAGTAATATGTTACGAATTTTCTATGAATATTTAAACATTCATTGTCTATGAATATTTAAGCTTGCATAATATTAGATTACTTGTTTCTTGTACTACTATTCAAAAGTTGTTACTCTATGAATAAAAAAAAAATACATTTTTTTTTTCATGATTTCTATCTGACGGTGCTTAAAATATTCAGCTAGAATCAGAAACATGACACTTGTGTCCATCAATATTATTCTCTCTTCCTCTTTCAATTACTTGAGTTGTATCTTCTCTTTATCACGAGCTAGTCTCCCTTACTCTTAAAGATATGGTATTTCCATGAATTCGACTTTCTTCATCGTCAACATCTTTTCCCCTTCCTTGAATTATTCGAATAGATTCACGAAATAGGTTGAACTTGAATTATCGCCTTCAGGGAATTTGCTCTTTGACTTTTTTGCTCGCTCTTTTACAGTTATCCTTCCAGTTGGCCTCTCCAAGCCCCCATATGAACCACTGTCGTCTCATTTGCTTACCGATTCTAGTATTGAAGGGTTAAAGTTGCTAGGAATTGCACCACCTTCTGTTTTTTACTTCTTAGACTGAAAATCCTTCATCTATTTTGGTTGATACCATAACTCATTCCAACAATGTTCAAATGAAAAAGAGCATTTATGCAGTTTCTTGTACACCTTCTTTGCATCACAGATCTAAAAAATGTACAAAAATATTATGTATCATAAATGAAAAATGTCATATTTTTACACTTGTAATTAAAAATACACTCATACTTTGTCTTTTTCAGTTATACCACTTTGACTCAACTTTTGAATTTAGTCAAAACATTCACAAAATTTATTGGTGACTAGTTGAATTGACGACCAATGATTCATCAAAGAAGATTGTGATTACAATTTCACTTGGGTTTGTATTCGTTGAAGTACTCTCAAACCCTTTGCCGATATGTTTTAGATTTTTGATCATTTCCATGCACGACATCTACGCTAATATTAAGCGAAGTCGAGATTAAAACTAAGTCCTTCTCAACTATAAAGTTGTCACCTCGAACCTTTTTGGTGGTGAATTCTATTTGAGGTGAATGACCTATTTGATCTACTGATTCATCATTAAGCTCATCTAAGTTTGTTCTGTTATTCAAGAGATTAATGAAGTAATATCCATGTTCAAATGGTTCCATATGTAATGCCTAAAATTCAATCCAAAAACATACATTATTCATGTAATTCAATCCAAATTAACTTAACAAGGTAGTAACCACAACAAAGATTAGTTCATAACTACACCAAGGGCCCAATAAGTCCTTACCAAAGCACTAAGTTTACAGGTTTTCAACAAAATAAGGGAGTCATCGATCAAAGATCTATTGCCATCATTTTTCCCTCTGAAATAAGGGAAACTATAATGACACCAGAACCTCTCACATCTCAGTGATTTTTTTTTATAACTAACCAAATACCAAAAGTAATAAATTACAATTAGGGTAACATAATTGCAATTTTCGTGATCAGCACCCCAAGTTATTGACAAACAACTGCTCCCCTAGTTATTAATACCACACCCAATCTTCAACTACTTGTGTAAAAAGTAAAAACCATTAACAGCACCTTGAACAAAGGCACGACACAACATAAATCCAAAACATCTTTACTAGAAAATTAAATTCAATCCTAAAATCCCACCTAGAATATGATAAAAAAAATTCAGTAAAACTTTAAAATAAAAAATTTCAACATCTATTTTCAGTAATTCAATATAAAAGTTTTTGAAAATTCAGTAGAAAAGTTACATGGAAATCAACATTAGAAAAAATTCACAGCAAATTCTTTTAGAAATTTCCACCAGAATCACTAAAGTTTTTCTTAATAGAAAATTTACTGTAGAAATAGGAGATAGAAAAAGGAAGAATACAAGAACAAGGGAAGAAAATTTACTCCCACCATTTTGTATTCGCCACTGTTTGTGAAAGCCAACCATACAACTATGCTGCGATACTTCAAATTGATTTAGATGTCGTATTAATTTCGGTGCAAAATTCACTTTACACAAATTGGTTCACCCACTAAATTGAATATGGGGTTTGTTTGATGTTTGATGAAATTAAAGAGTTTTTTATTAGTGAGTTTTTTGGTTTAGGTTTGATTTTTGGCAGCAAATGCTTGAGCAAATAAGTGGGGAGGGGGAGGAGTTTTTGGCAGCAAAACAGTGGAGAGAGGAAGGATTTTTGGCAGTAAAATAGTTGAGAGGGGGAGATGAATACTTGAACACAGCAGCAAGGACCAGCAACGAGTGGCGAGCAATGAAGACCTCTCCATATCTGGCGAGTAACGAAGACCTCCTAGATTTTGGTGAGGAGGATAGCTAGTAGGTTGAAGCTGTTTTTTTGGGAGTTACTTGTCAAAATAGCTAAAATGAGAGAATGACTAGCAGAGTTGGAGTTGCTCTAACAAACAGTTGAAGACAACTACATCTGATCATGACATCAATAAATTACCCATTTTGCCCTTGTTGAATATAAAATTAAAAAAAAAAAAGCTTATGAAAACACTAACCACATACCTAAGAGGACATCATTGAGAGATAAGGAATGAAGGGGGAGCCAATATGAGGAAGAGAGAGGAGATGATGATAGCGGTCATTTTTTTTTGTTACAAGGTGTTTAGGTTTGCGTCAATTACTCTTTCAAGTTCTAAGTCAGCCATCTAACTCGAACTTGTTTAAGTACATGTTTCCAAAAAACCAAGGATAGCCGATCTTTAAGAAATATGAGAAATATCAAATTTTAGAGACATACTTGACTATTGAATTATTCCAAGAGTTGATGATTTGGTGGTTGGCTTCGCAAACTAGTGTTTAAATGAGAGTGAGAGAGCCGAGGAGAAATGAAATTGAGTCCATTTGGATCCATTTTAAGAATTGCCAATACGTGTGTTCGAATCAAAGTTTGAATAATTTGTCAAAATTGTTGGATTTCTCAATTAAATGATAGATCGAAAATTCATCACCTACTCCTCTTTACACCATTAGCTACATAATCGAAAAGGCGCTATCAATTAATCACTACCCTTAGTAGTTTATCGAGTTGCTATTGTTCAAATTTTATCATGTCAATTTTTTTTATTATTTTGTGCCTTTAGGCACGGGGAATTACTAAAAATAACCATGATAAAGTTTTAAAATAAATAATAATTAAATAATGTAGGTAATGTTAGGAATGAAAATAATGTTTTTTGTATATAATATTTTCCAATTATTGGAAGCAATCTTTATTGGCAGAAGGATCTCCTCATATCAATTTGTACTGCAATCCCATAACGAGTTTAGGTTTTCAATGGACTTTCTTGAATAAATCTCATTTTTCAATCATTCAATCATTTTATATTACCAAGTTCGAATTATTTTCAGAAGTTTAGTGATATTTTTTGTAATTAAATTCAAATTATAGGGGTGGTCTCTGTAATTCTACGAACAGGGTATATTATTAATTTATTATTAAAATGGCACCGCACGTGTATTTAATGACGAATATTGTAATCCAGCTTCAATATTTATTGCTTCCCATCCGTTAGCTGCTGAGAATCGAAAGGCGATTGGGAAACGCTGAAGATAGAGAGAGAAAGTTGCGTTTAGAGAGCGAGAGAGAGTGAGTGAGCAGTGAATCAAGTTTTGTTCTCTGAAACAAGAAGCTCTCTCTCCCATGGAGTCAACATTGTCTGCAACCACAACAACAATGTCTCTGTTGGCCATAACCAAAACCCTAAATCCCAATTCCAGCACCTTCGTGTCTCAGCTGCACCGCCGTTTCTCCACGAATCGGTCGAGTAACTGTCTTCGGACTCAACTCGAAACTCTCCAGTTCAGACGCCTGCTACGCAACAGCAACTCGCTGTTTCAGTGTCACGGATCGAACAAGTTCGGTTCGATCTCTTCGAGCACATTGAGGAGTTTGGGTGGGGTGGATTTGAGGCCGATGAAAAGCCGGTTGGAGTGTGTTTCGAGCTCTGCTGCTTCGTTTGCCAGTGGCGGCGGAGGGATTGATGGGAGTGGTAGTGATGGTAATGGAGGTGGTGGTGGTGGTGGTGGTGCGGCAGAAAGTGGAGAGGTGAAGGTGAATTTGGGTGTGAGAGGGGCTGAGGATGTTTCCGCTTTGTCTTCTGATGTGATAATTCTTGATGTTGGAGTAAGCAACCGCTCTCTCACTCTCCGTCTCCCTATGTGTGTGATATGTGAACTTTTTTCGTGCAATGTTTAATTTCAGTTCTCTATGTAAATTCCGTCTTTTCTTGTATTTTTTTGGGTTTCGTGTTTTGAATTTCATCAAAATCTCTCTGAAATGGCAGGGGATGACATGTGGGGGGTGTGCCGCGAGTGTGAAGAGGATTTTAGAAAGTCAAGTACGTATTCTGTTCATGTTGTATTTGTGAACGCTGCTTCATTATCCATGTAATTGTTGTTCTGGAAACAATCTTTTAATATATTCAAGAAACTTGAAAAGTTTTGTTTGGCAGCATGAAATTTGGGTATTGGAATGGAGGAAAAGTCAGTTCAAAAGTGTACTATCTTTTTCCCAATTCCATATAAGGCTTTTTATGGCCATCCCTTGCAAGTGCACTGAATACATGGGGTTTAATAAAGGAATCATGAAACAAAAAGAAAAAGATTATGCTTTTATAAACGTTTTCATTTTTGGGGGATTCAAATGAGTAATTTGCCATAGCTCAGATTTTTTGAGTTTTTTTGTGAAGAAAAACTAAGTGGAGATATAATCAGGATTCAAAGTTTTACTCTCGGTCAAAACTAGCGTAACTGGTCCTCATGATTCTATATTCTCAATGAAACGATATTACTCATAGAATGACACCTTATAGGGCTTCAATGTTAGTGGGAAAACTATTGGAGCTGGAAGATATGGATGAATTATTTGTAGCTGCTAATGCATTGTATTTATTGTAATTTTTGGTTGAATCTTTTCACTTATACTGTGGATAAATTATCTGAGACTCACAATATATATGGACAGCCACATGTGTCTTCTGCTAGTGTCAATCTTACAACAGAGACAGCAATTGTATGGCCTGTATCTGAAGTGAAGGTTGCACCAAACTGGCAAAAAGAGTTGGGGGAGGAACTTGCGAAGCATTTGACTACTTGTGGGTTTAAGTCTAACCTTCGAGGTGAGTGTTCTACCCAGTGCATTTTAATTTTCCTTGCCGACTCTTTATATAAATATTTATACAATTATTACCATCGTTCACCATCTTTCCCAACACCCTCCGTGATGGAGATGGAGTGGGAAATGATTCTTTTTTTTTTTGGGTCTGTGAATGTTGATACCATCTGGAAAACATGCTACTACAATCATGAGTTATGATTTATTGATGTAGCTAGTTAGTTACACTCTTATGGAACTTTTCAAATGTGCATATGTNATCATGAGTTATGATTTATAGATGTAGCTAGTTAGTTACACTCTTATGGAACTTTTCAAATGTGCATATGTTACCANTCATGAGTTATGATTTATTGATGTAGCTAGTTAGTTACACTCTTATGGAACTTTTCAAATGTGCATATGTTACCACAAGACTCTTAGAATTGTTATTTCTTGAGGGAAATTTAGGGTGATGGCAGTCCGGATGTAGTGTCTTTCTTTTTCTCTTTTCCTTTTTAATTTAGATTTTTTGACGAGGATCAAGATACAGAACAGATCTGCGAAAGGTTGTATTACAAGACTCCTTGCATAGTATGCACTCCCGGCCTGTGTAAAACATGATTAGTTTTTTTAGATATTAGTAGATAAAACTAAGGTACAAAGCAATAGGATGCTTGAGTATCCTGGAGCATGAGTCCCACAAACTGTAAATTACAAACAGAAAATAAACCCAAAAAAAGAAAAAAAGGAAGAAAATTTACCCAAGACAACATTGAGAGGCAATTAGGTGGCCAAGCTTCATCTTTTTTCAAAAGATTGGAAGTTAGCTTATAGTTTCATGAAGCAAGATAGAAGGGAAAAATCTAAGTAACAGATGGAGATATTATTATTCCTGCTTACTATATTTTAAATTTTCTGGAGATAACCATCACCTTTATATATCGTACAAAAAAATATATAAATCGATGTATCTTTCCGCTAAAAATGACTTAGAAATATGTCCCTATCCAATTAGTAATCCATCAAGCATCCATTCAAATTGTAAGTGGGAGGAGACACTACAATATATTCAGGCTATCTTTCGACTTATGTGGAGCTTGGTGGATAATTGGCAGGTCAGGAAGCTATTGAAGGAGATATTCTGTCATAGAATGCAAAGGATTTCTTGTAGGAGCAACCATACTCCTTTATGGTATGTCCCTGTTACTTTGGGTTTTTAATTTCACCTGCTTCTTCATGAGCAGTAACTTTTAGTTTTTTTTCCACTTCTCTAAAGATAGGTTCAAAAGTCATGTTTAATGGTATAGTTTCTCCCTCAATAGGTGAGTCTGGCAGCTACTAGTGGTGGATTTGGTGGAAGGAGGCATATCTATGACCGGAAAGCCCAAGCGTTTTGGATAACCTACTGTTGTGCGACCTGAGTTGTTAAAGGAAATTGTTCAGTAACATCAGTTGATTGAGGACTTCCATCCTTTAAAACGATTAATGTATCAATTTTCATGTCCCATGACAATGGGCAGTTACAATGGCTGTACGGGTTGAACAACTGTCTAATTGAATTTTTCCTTCTCCTTTTTTCAAATTTTCTCATATCTGAAGGAACATTCAGTATGTACTTCTGTCTGAGGTTTTGTATTCCCCATTGTCCTACAAAGGTCTCGTTGTCTGGAATAATTAGTTGACCGAGAAACTATGCAAAATATAATATAAACTTCTACGTTTACAAAATTGTTATTTACCTGTATTTATGCCTTTGAAATTCTTCGAAATCTCCTGTTCTCACTGATTTGCTCTATTCTTCTGTTCAATTCACTACACTCTTTTGTCAGTCCTTTTCCTTACAATTAAACATATTTGTTAGCTGGAAATTTTCAAAAAGATTCTGAGATTAGCTTTGCAGTATGAAGCGTCTTGATAGTATCCTGAGATTGAGATTAAGGGCACTAAGCATTGTTCATTGGTACTGATGAATCAAGCTTCCCTGCGGAAATGACTTTGGAGATTTATTTTTAAAGGAGATGGTTTATGGAGTAGAGCTGTGAACATGTAGTCCAGAAGTATAGAGTTGAGTGAGGAGAAGAATTGGTTAAAGGAGTTTGCGCATGAGGCAAGCAATATTGAATGGGCCAGATGTACCTTGCCCTAGCCAAGCCCTTNCATTGGAGATTTATTTTTAAAGGAGATGGTTTATGGAGTAGAGCTGTAAACATGTAGTCCAGAAGTATAGAGTTGAGTGAGGAGAAGAATTGGCTAGAGGAGTTTGTGCATGAGGCAAGCAATATTGAATGGGCCAGATGTACCTTGCCCTAGCCAAGCCCTTGAGCCAATCTTGTAGCGTAGATACATGCAAACCATCCCACTAAATTTTATTTATTTGTGTTGAATAAATTTAAAATATTTAAAACATCTAGAAGAACATAAATAACATGTTTTTTCATCATAAATGTAATGATTCGAGACTTTGAGATTGTCCATAGTAGCTAATGATATAGAGTTGTATAATTTCTTATGCTTTAAAATGAAACAATAGTACCTTAAGCCCATAAACGTAACAGATTTGATAAAAAGAATATGTAGGACTAGGTCGGGTTTGCTCATGGGCCAATTTTTCTTAGTCCAGACCCATTCAATAACTTGATCAAGCCAAAAATTTATGACTGAAGGTCCGAACCAACCCATTGGTCAAATGTTCTACTTCGAGTCCTGAATTGCCCTCTGGGATCTGCTACTCCAGAGGGAAGTTTGGTAAAGAAGGCACAGAACTGTTGTACAAGAGCACTAAGTGTGAAGGCAGTCTACATATTGTACTACCTCATGGAGTGAATTCTCCATTTAGCAAGTAAGTTAGCATAAGTATTTGTGATTCTGTTGTTTTCTTGCTTTAATAGTCAAGATTCATTTCTCTTTTCTCCCTTTGTCATTGAATTCATATGGTTATTACATATGTTTTGTCCTCTAGTCTTAATCACTGGCCTGTGCTTTATCATTTGTTGGGCTTTACACTAGTGGCTGTATTTGTAAAACCATTTATTTCAAAATAAGTATATATCTCGTGCAAGAAATGCTGGGAACTCATTCTCGCATAAGTTAACTTGTGGGTTGATCATTATTATACCCCTCAAACTACCATAATGTTCATGCCCTTATGTTCTGTTTTTAGCTTCCTTGAACTCATATTCTTGCATAAGTAAACTTGTGGTCTGAGATCATTATTATACTCCTCAAACTACCATAAACATCTGTAATTAAATTCCATGTCTGTGGTATCTGTTGACGCTCTTATTTGCTGTTTTTAATTTCCTTGAACTTTCACTCATTAATTCAATATTTGAGAGCTACTAGATTTTGATGTAAGCATAGATTTTATATCCTTGGAAGGATTCAAATAGTGTAAACTTCAGTCCGTTCTCAATACTCTTCATGGTTGCAGTCTGTAGAAGATTGACTTGGGTGCTTGGTTATTTGCAGATTCCGGAAGGGAGAATTTCTTTGAAACATTTGAAAGGAAAATGGATGAAAAACGTAGACTGTTAAAGGAAAGTGGTACATACGTTTTCATTCCTCTATCATTATAAAAAAAGTTTGAAATCTCCATTTGTATATAAATTTTTGTTGGGCTTTCTCTATAAGAGTTCAGTCAGTGCTGGTGTGCTGATTACAAATCTGATAAGCAGTGCAACAAAAAACTCACTTTTTTAACAGGTCGCGGGCTTGTTGTTTCCTGGGCTCTATGTGCTGTATGCCTCTTGGGCCACTTCTCTCATTTTTTTGGACCCAAGTTTTCATGGATCCATGCATTTCACTCCACGGGGTTTCATATGTCCCTCTCTTTATTTACGTTGCTTGGTCCTGGACGCCGACTAATTGTTGATGGTCTTAAAAGCCTTATTAAGGGGGCTCCAAACATGAATACTCTAGTTGGTCTTGGTGCTTTATCATCATTTGCTGTCAGCTCACTGGCTACCTTATTACCCAAACTGGTAACTAGTGACTACCTGGCTTTTACACGATTTTGTTGCATTTATTTTTGTGTTTATTGATGCACTGTTACTTTTTAATCTTTTTAACAAGAATGTCTACCAAAATTATCTGCAATGTTTCGTGTTATTGGTAATCCTGATTAGAAATGGCTGTGTAATCTTTGTTCAAGTCCTTTCCCTTTTAACCAACTGATGTTTTGCTAATTAGTTTTTGTATGGACCCGTGCTCTAAGGGGCTGCAGGGTTGTTTGATTCTTCTCGTGTTTTTCTAACCAAGTTTATGCCATAGTGGTTTGCCCTACCTCTCTTTGGTGATTCAAGATGATATAAATGATGTTTGATTTTGTCAGATTCTGAAATATGACTTATATCAGTGCTTGTATACTCGATTAGATTGGGAATATTGTTCTGTGATTTATATTTATTAATTCACCAAAAGAAAGTGTTAGTTTGTTTTGGAGTTTTTCCTAGTTGCTCAATCTAGTCTTATGTTTGTGCCATAAGATACATTACAGTGACATGATGTCTTCAATTAATGTTAATGCAATATGTTTGCTGTATCTTGTCACTGGAATTCCATTTGCTGAGACATATATTGTTTAATTTCGTTTTATTTTTTTGAATTTGTGTTTTGTAACCCTCCAGAAAAGTATTCTTTGGTGATTTAGTTTACTACAAATTCATCTTTCTTTGAAGACTAGATCTTGCACATGTGCCTTGCACATGGTTTTGTTTTTGAAATAATTAAATAAATATAATATCAAATACCTACTTATAAATATAACATTTTGAATATTCCTATTATATAATTTGTGTAATTTGTAATAGACATAACACTACATATTTGCAAAACGAATATTAGTTTTTTTTATGTTTTTTCTCTTAAGTTTTTATGAATTACCTCGTAAACCTGTACCCTTAAAATTTAGAACTTTTCACATGAAGTTAATTATAGATTAATTTTATTTGCAACATCATAGTACTAGTACAAATATATTTTATAGTATGTGGGTATATATAATATAACTAAAAAGTATCGCAGACATTTATTAAATTATGAAAAATATGGAAGCTTACTAATTTAAGTTATGGTGGTCATTTAATTATAAACAATTGGTTAAGCAAATTTAAAAAGCTAAGTTGTGATAAGTAATTTAATGTGAGACTAAACATATTCGNTGAAAATTTAGAACTTTTCACATGAAGTTAATTATAGATTAATTTTATTTGCAACATCATAGTAATAGTACGAATATATTTTATAGTATGTGGGTATATATAATATAACTAAAAAGTATCGCAGACATTTATTAAATTATGAAAAATATGGAAGCGCACTATTTTAAGTTATGGTGGTCATTTAATTATAAACAATTGGTTAAACAAATTTAAAAAGCTAAGTTGTGATAAGTAATTTAATGTGAGACTAAACATATTCGTAACATTGTTAATCGATACAAATAAAATGATTTCTAGTATTGCCAAAGAACATAACTAAAGAAGATTTATTAAAACTAAAACATAAAAGAGAAAAAAAAAAGTTAGGGTTTGATAATATTATCTAAATTATATTAAAATAAATATTATATTAAATAAGACTCTAGTGTATTTATGCAATTTCATTTGAAAATTCAGGAGTTTGTCATCAATTAATGAAAATGATAGACATAAATAAAAGTAAATTTAATTATTTTAACAATTAATTCTTGTCTTTTAAAGAAAGAATACGAAAGGCTTGGATATGCGTAATAATTAATAAAGAATATGAAAGGCTTGGATATGTGTAATAGTAATGAAGTTTTATTGATAGGAATTCCATATTAATAATGTTAGTATTGTGAGAGGAAAGTTGTCCAATTAAAAGTTTAACATCAATCAAGTCTTATTAATATGAGTTCTAAATTAAATAAGGCTAGTATTGTCTTTATATATTATTTCAGGGTAAAAGTAGTCAATCAAAAGTTTTCTTGATAGTGTACTTTTATTATTAGTATAGATATAGATGTAGCTGGTACTGGAAGTAGGCACATATGACTGAAAGTCGCTCAATCATTTTATTGAAGGGAATTGTTTACCATGCAGGGTTGGAAAGCATTCTTTGAGGAACCAGTTATGCTGATTGCATTTGTCTTGTTAGGGAGAAATCTTGAACAAAGAGCTAAAATTAAAGCCACCAGTGACATGACTGGACTTCTTAATATTTTGCCATCTAAAGCTCGTCTAGTGGTCAACAGTAATGCAGATGAGTCAAGCTCAACTGTCGAAGTTCCTTGTAGCTCTCTTTCTGTAGGAGATGAAGTCATTATAGTACCTGGAGTAAGTAAAATGTACTCTGTTTTTCGGGGTTTACCTTGTACTTTTAGATCTTTTTTGTTCTTCTTCAATGGAATTTCTCATAGGCTTCCAATTTTTAGCTTCTTTGCCAATAATTCCTGTTCTGTCGTCATTTGGGCTACAATAGTAGGTTCTTTCTGCTGCCAACTACAGCGCACATTCAATTAGAATACTAGAGCATATTACTTGATCTTTTGACACATGCTCTTCTAATTCTGTAGGACCGTGTTCCAGCTGATGGGATTGTCAAAGCCGGTAGAAGCACGGTTGACGAGTCTAATTTAACAGGGGAGCCTCTCCCTGTCACTAAATTACCTGGGGTAATTATACTATCTTATCAAATTAAATTGTATCCACTGTTTGCATTTTTTAGATAATGGACCACTAATCTTTATAAGTAAAAAGTATAGTTGTCAAATTGTGTATCGGAAGGCGTATCGTTTTTTAAAAATAGTGTATCGTATCATGCATCGTGTATCGTAAGATACGTGCAATTTTAATTTTTAAATAATTATTAATAAAAAATATGTATATAACTTTGTAAAAAAGTCATAGACTCGTAATAACATAGCATTTCATTAATATTCTACCAACTATTCAAGTTCCTAACATAGTTTAGTAATATCAAAATGCAAAAACCTCTAATTCAAACTTTTAACATCAAAAACTTGAATAACCTTAATAATAATTATGAATTTTGAATTCAATTGAACAACATTAACAACATATTTTATTTATTTATTTTTAAATTATAACTATTGAAACGACGTTATTTTATTAGCTAATGATTTAAAAATAAGTCATAGGATAAACCGATGTCATTTCAACCCCAAAAAATAAAAAATAAAAAATAAAAAACAGAATCGTCACGTATCGGGCTTATCGTATCGTACGATACGGTGTAAAAATGATACAGATGTACGATACGTATCGTTTTTCAGGTGTATCGTGACGTATCGTACGATACGTATCGCATATCATACGATATTAATAACTATGGTAAAAAAGTTTAAAATCTGAAGAGCAATTGGTTATTTTACTTCAAAATGATATTTTCTCTTTTCTTTATTCATTTTTCTTTATTTTGGAGGTCGAATGGGGTGGGAGGGGTTTAGGTCGACAGGCCATTGTAGCACTTCACTTGCAATGACTGTTTTCTGTGTACTAGGCCAAAGTTGCAGCAGGAAGTATAAATCTAAATGGAACACTTACTGTGGAAGTGCAAAGACCAGGTGGCGAGACTGCCATGGGGGACATTGTTCGTTTGGTGGAAGAAGCACAGAGTAGAGAAGCTCCTGTACAGCGGTTGGCAGACAAGGTCTTATATCATATTTTACAACTAAAACAATTCTGTTTTTGCAAATGCCATAAAGAGCATTGATTCTTAGATTTAACAAATTTGTTATGATGTTAGGTTAAATTTATTTTATCTTTGGATGTGATTTAGTGAAGGACTTCTTGCCATACTATTCATATTCTTAGATTTCCATTTTTCTTATATATAATCATGTGTAGTGTTAGATAGTTGAACAACCATCCCAATCTTTGTTCCAAGTGATCGGTAATCCTTCTATTGCAACATTGCATACAATATTTTGAACTATCTTTGGGGAATGCATGTATATTTATGTTTTGCTACTTCGACTCCATCATGAATTTGGCATGATTATTGATGATCCCAGTAATCATGTAGTAGACACAACCTATTTTATTTGATGCTGCGAAGGTTTTATTAAGTTTGACATTATGTTCTAGTGTTAGGTGACAGTACATCCCTCCGAGATTATGATATAATCATGCAACTGCTTCTAACAATTGTTTTGTTGCATCTCATAAAATGCTTTTGGGAAGAGAGCTTGTATTACACATGGAATAATTAGTACCACCCAAAGTTAGTTTATATAATGAAAGGATCTCTTGGATGTTCGAATGTGGTATTCCAGCTCGTCGGTGGTCAATGGTCAAGTCTCTTATCCATTTGCATTTCTNAAAATAAAATTAAAAATAAAAAACAGAATCGTCACGTATCGGGCGTATCGTATCGTACGATACGGTGCAAAAATGATACAGATGTACGATACGTATCGTTTTTCAGGTGTATCGTGACGTATCGTACGATACGTATCGCATATCATACGATATTAATAACTATGGTAAAAAAGTTTAAAATCTGAAGAGCAATTGGTTATTTTACTTCAAAATGATATTTTCTCTTTTCTTTATTCATTTTTCTTTATTTTGGAGGTCGAATGGGGTGGGAGGGGGTTAGGTCGACAGGCCATTGTAGCACTTCACTTGCAATGACTGTTTTCTGTGTACTAGGCCAAAGTTGCAGCAGGAAGTATAAATCTAAATGGAACACTTACTGTGGAAGTGCAAAGACCAGGTGGCGAGACTGCCATGGGGGACATTGTTCGTTTGGTGGAAGAAGCACAGAGTAGAGAAGCTCCTGTACAGCGGTTGGCAGACAAGGTCTTATATCATATTTTACAACTAAAACAATTCTGTTTTTGCAAATGCCATAAAGAGCATTGATTCTTAGATTTAACAAATTTGTTATGATGTTAGGTTAAATTTATTTTATCTTTGGATGTGATTTAGTGAAGGACTTCTTGCCATACTATTCATATTCTTAGATTTCCATTTTTCTTATATATAATCATGTGTAGTGTTAGATAGTTGAACGACCATCCCAATCTTTGTTCCAAGTGATCGGTAATCCTTCTATTGCAACATTGCATACAATATTTTGAACTATCTTTGGGGAATGCATGTATATTTATGTTTTGCTACTTCGACTCCATCATGAATTTGGCATGATTATTGATGATCCCAGTAATCATGTAGTAGACACAACCTATTTTATTTGATGCTGCGAAGGTTTTATTAAGTTTGACATTATGTTCTAGTGTTAGGTGACAGTACATCCCTCCGAGATTATGATATAATCATGCAACTGCTTCTAACAGTTGTTTTGTTGCATCTCATAAAATGCTTTTGGGAAGAGAGCTTGTATTACACATGGAATAATTAGTACCACCCAAAGTTAGTTTATATAATGAAAGGATCTCTTGGATGTTCGAATGTGGTATTCCAGCTCGTCGGTGGTCAATGGTCAAGTCTCTTATCCATTTGCATTTCTCAATTTGTATGTTTTTATGTTAATTTGTGAGCTACATGTGCAAGCCCGGGTTCTATGTGAGGGAGGGTGTGAAGAGAGCTTGTATCTTACATCGCATAATTAGAACCACCCAAAGTTAGTTATATAGTGAGAGGGTCTCTCCACTCATAGCCAATTGGTTTTGAGTTAGATGCTCTTAACATTTTTAAAACTAATTTCACATGATTGGACAAGTTGTACACGTTTATTTGGAGCAAGCAATCTGAGATTATGATAACATACACACCCATCCTATGTGCACTCAGGTACCTAGCTCCTTTTGTCCCAACATTTTTGGGGATGGTTACATGAGCGCCATCGTGCTCCTTTAAGGGTCATGTTTTATGTTAATTTTGTTATATGTTGCTAGCTATATTTAGAGAATTGTGTGAAATAGAAAAAATTGTCTAACGTGATTTAGCTATGTCCATGTGCAAAAGAGATGAAGTAATGCATTGATCTGGAGAATGATTTGATTGTATAAAAGTTTAGAAGTACAACAAGATAGGCTTAAAATGTTTATCATTATGTAAGTAGAAAGAGGAAATTATGCAAATCCTAGAGATAACGAAGTTTAATGAAATCCAAAAAGCAAGTAAGCTCAACATTTTAGCAAACAACAGCGGCTAACACCAACCATAGTTGACACTGATTGTGAATTTTTTTGTATCTTACGAATATTCCTGCAATCCGTTAGATTGCCAATAAAAGCAGCAAAAACGCTATCCTCTCATGCAAAATGCAGTGGTAGACGAATGAAAAGGTGTCTAACGGTTCACTCTTTAAATATTAAGCTACCAGTTCCTGTATTTCAAAATCCCAGCTGGAGGGGAGCTACAAATCAAATTTTAATTTATCTCCAAAAATTTCCTCTAGAAGAGATTCTACGTTCTACCCCTTTTAATAACTGCAAGCTTTTTGGATAAGTTCATAAAAATTTCTGCACAAAACCTCCAAAAGGAAACAATACCCAGGATTATAAGTTTTGACTGAAACATATCCAATAACCTTGCATTTACATTCTGCTTGACNGAGCTACAAATCAAATTTTAATTTATCTCCAAAAATTTCCTCTAGAAGAGATTCTACGTTCTACCCCTTTTAATAACTTCAAGCTTTTTGGATAAGTTCATAAAAATTTCTGCACAAAACCTCCAAAAGGAAACAATACCCAGCATTATAAGTTTTGACTGAAACATATCCAATAACCTTGCATTTACATTCTGCTTGACCATATTTAGAGTTAAGAGTCAACTAGCTCAACTCTTCTTAAATATCACGGAACATCTTTTCTTCTTAAGACTGGGATAAAGGATTCTTGAATATTAATAATGTGCTTGTTAATAAAATTGACATATAATTGATCGTGATAAAAAATTGTGATAAATAAATCGAAATTTGAATTTTCTACTATGTATTTTATCGACATTTAGTAGCACTAGTAATGCACTGGGTAATCAAATATTTAACAAGGAATATTTTGGGGATTTACCCAAATTCAAGCATTCATTACATTAGAGCTTGTTATCTGATGGCAAAGAGTGGATATCGTGCCCCAGTGTGTTTATTTTTCATTTCGATGCTAGAATAAGTGGTAATTACCTTTTGGGTGTCAAATTTTGATCAACTGCCTATCTTTTTGCGCGGATTAGATCTAGGGTTGTCTCTTCTCATAATTTTTACAATTCATTATTGTGCAAAATCTTCTCTACAAAAGAGTATATATCTGCTATCTTTTGGTGATTCTGGCTGGATGCTTAGCATTTAGGAGGTAGTCCAACATGTATCCTTTTTTGTTACTGGGGATATAAATTGATCATGTGTATTGCATTAGAACCAAAGGTTTACATTATTGCAAGTGTTATGGTTGCATTTAGCTTTATTTTTCATTGTTGCTGCCTCCTCTCTACAACATTAAAGAAACTTTTAGACTGATAAGTTTAGATGGGCAACACGTGTCTTAAGAGTTTCCTCCATTATAGTTGGATATCTTTACTGGTGGGGAATTAATTTATCCCTCTGCTGGATCTTTGAATCTTTCAAATAAATGCTTCTGTTGTAATAGGTGGCTGGGCACTTCACCTATGGAGTAATGACACTCTCTGCTGCAACATTTATGTTTTGGAACCTTTTTGGTGCACGAATTCTACCAGCCGCTCTTCATCAAGGAAGTCCAGTTTCATTGGCCTTGCAGCTCTCTTGTAGTGTTCTGGTATGATGACTCGTGTGTTTACTTTAAAAATGCATACTAGGTTTCAGAAACTCCTCCAAGGAAGTCAGATATGTTCCTGCTGCAACAATATGACAGAGGATTCCACTCAGTTCTACATTTGATTATAGGATGTCCAATACACCAAACAAAATTCTGGATTTGCCCCTCTTCTTGTTTGCACATTCTGCATTGCTATGCTGTGTCTTTGCTCTCAATTGTTTTGCTTGCTTACCAATGTGCTTCTGTGTTGGTGTTAAATTCTCACTTTTTCTATTTTGGATTCAGTCTTTGACCTTTGTTTTAAGAGTGCAGGTTGTTGCATGTCCATGTGCCCTTGGTCTAGCAACACCTACTGCTGTGCTGGTAATGTTTTGTGAACATTATTCAAATTCCAAGAGCAGTGATTGGTACAGTTCCATTTTTTAACTTACGACGGAATCCCCGTTACTTCATTCTGCTGATTTCCCAGGTTGGAACTTCACTGGGTGCTACAAAAGGATTGCTTCTGCGTGGAGGAAATGTTTTAGAAAAGTTTTCAATGGTGAATACAATTGTGTTTGACAAAACAGGGACACTGACAATTGGTAGACCTGTTGTGACAAAGGTCATTACTCAAGGGCGCAAAGAGGATGCAGATTCAAAGTTGAGTGTAGAAATATTGCCAATTCTATTGGATCCCTTTTTTTGGAATATGATGCCCGAGCTACTGTGTTGGTTATGTTACGTTTTTTTTTTAATTACATAGTTGGATTACCTTTCATTGATTTCGTATCGAACATGACGCATAACTGGTTTTACAGTTTTTATTGTAATCCAGGTAGATGTGGATAATGCAAAGTATGTTCCAGGGATATCAGAAACATGGACTCCCAATCTCATAATTGAGCAACTAGATAATTTGGCTGATTGCATAGCTTCTAGTTGTTGAAATTCTTTTTGTCACCATTCAGCTATCTAATAATCTACTCTTGTTCGTTCATGAATAGTAATTAGATGAGGAGTCTCTCAACACCATAGAATTGAAGATTTTNTGTAGTTGTTGAAATTCTTTTTGTCACCATTCAGCTATCTAATAATCTACTCTTGTTTGTTCATGAATAGTAATTAGATGAGGAGTCTCTCAACACCATAGAATTGAAGATTTTCATGACCTTTGGTGTGGTTTTTTGGAATCAAATGTACTAAGAGAAGATCTTTATGTAAAGAGCCCCACCCTTGTTTTCCAAATCTAATGATTAGGATCACTCAAAGTTGGTTCATATGTTTGAAAGACATCTCCAAACTCAATTGTTAATTGGTTTTGAGTTGGATGCTCCAACATGATATCAGAATTGAATCTTAGGTGGTCATTGGGCCAGTTAAGAGAGGGTGTGTTCCGCATCAAATAATTAGAACCACTAAGTTTGGTTTATATACTTGAGAGACCATCACCTATTGCCAAATAGTTTTGGATTGGATGCTTTAAAATGGTATTAGAGCTTGGCCTAGGGTGGTAGATTGGCCAAGTCTCCTACCTATTTGAATTTCTCGGTATACAAAGTTGTTTGTTTATTTGTTTACCACAAGTGCAAGCCTGGGTCTCATGTGAAAATGGGTGTTAAGATAGATTGTATCCCATGTCGAATAATTAAGACTATGGTTTATATATTTGAGGGTCACTCAACCCATTGCCAATTAGTTTTGGACTGGATGCTCTAATATGGCCAAGTCTCTTATCTATTTGAATTTTTCAGTATGCATGTTTGTCTTTTCATTTGTTAGCCCACCTACGAGCTCGGGTCCCACATGAGGAATGGTGGAAAGAGAACTTGTGTCCCAAATCAAATTATTAGGGTCGCTCATGGTTTGTTTATATGCTTGAAAGGCCTCTCCACTCATTCAATTGGTTTTGAGTTGGATGCTCTATCAATTTTTATGTTGATTACTGCCAAAACATAGTATCAAATCAGAAGGTCCTGTGTTTAAATCTCGCCGCCACCTTGGTTATTAAAGGTTTTCCACGTGTTAGGCCCAAAAATCTAGCGTGCACGCGGGAGGGCGTGTTGAAGTATAAATATATAAGTTACACCTTGAGTTGTTGGTTGTTTAACAATAACAAGAGCATTGCTGATGAATGTTACTTGATATGCTAGAAATTTGATTTGGAGTTCCATAATATGCATTGATTGTAATTTTAAATTGCCATCATGTAATTAATGAACCCAAATTTTGGTGCAGACCAAGTTCAAACTGTAACTGGTCGGAAGTTGATGTTTTGAAGTTAGCTGCTGGAGTTGAATCAAATACAATTCATCCAATTGGAAAAGCAATTGTGGAGGCTGCTAGGGCTATTAGTGGTTCCAATTTGAAGGTAACTGCTCTTACTTGATGACCGTCTTCTTTTAGCAAGGCCATCTGTTAATTACCTCTGCCTGAACATAAAATATACAACTCTAGTGCTCAATTATGAAGCTTCTCAAGCAGCAATTACTCTGAAAAATATTGTAGGTACTATATCATTGGATGATTGTGCAGAAGCTTTTTTGTTTAATTCCTACCGGCAGAGTTTTGAGATATTCTGTGATTTTGATAAAATTGTAGCTGCATGCTGTAAACTTGCACCAGTTTGTGTTCAAAATGCATTTAGGTTGATGCAGCAACATAGGTAGCTGCTCTTTCTTCTTCCTCCTCTTTTTCCCCCTTTGGAGACAAGTAAAGTAATAGATGCACAGCTGTGTCCGGGACTTGAATTCTGCAACCCCCTACCACCAAAATCAAAATAAAAAATAAAATAAAACCTCAAAAGGGTGCTGTCAGGCTACACCACTCAAGCTAAGTGGTTGTCATGTGTAGTGCTAACTTTTTGGAGCATTTTGAGCACCTGAAGTGCTTTGGAGACTGCTCTCAGTTAGGTTGGGTGACCTGAATGTCCAGTATGCACCAAAATTTTTGATTAATTCCATGTAGCCTTTTCTTTAACATTTTGTTTCATAATTTCAATGGTCGTAAGTGTAAGATCTTGGCTGCTAGGATTTACAGTTATTTCAGAGTTGCACCTTTTCTTATTTCAAGGATTCCTTTTTGCAAGATGCAGTAGTTTTGATTCTGAAAATGAAGAAGACTGTGACTGTTGTTTCTTAACCCTAAAAAAGTATTGTCCTAGTGTTCTTGAACGCATTTTTAATGCTGTATTACTNTTGCAAGATGCAGTAGTTTTGATTCTGAAAATGAAGAAGACTGTGACTGTTGTTTCTTGACCCTAAAAAAGTATTGTCCTAGTGTTCTTGAACGCATTTTTAATGCTGTATTACTATTACTGGCTGAATTCAGTATCAATAAAATTTTTCAATGTCGCTTCTGGCATCAGTTGGTGTTACTAGGAATTGGTGACTTTGATTTAGGGTCTGGCTGAAGACAAGCCCAACCCTGAGAGTTGGATTAAAATGTTAGAGCAACATGGATTTGTTACGCAGCTGAATAGTTTCTATCCGTAAGATAACTATGATCTTGGTTAACATGGAATTCTTTACAGTGGAGTTCTAGCATGAAGTCTTCTTATATTTGTATCCAGATTTCTAGGTGCTAGAGAACTAGGATTTGTGAAGGGAAACTGCAAATAATAGCTTCTTGCTTTTTATGCATCTATGTTTTTCAGCAGTTATCTGGATTAGAAGTAAGTTTTGTGACGTTTTAGCATATCTATGGCCAGATAATAATTGTCCACTGCCTGAATTTCCCAAATTGTTTGATTTGTGCTATCGAGATCACTAACACTGATAAATGTTGATATCTTAATTATTTATTTAGCATTAGCTAGTCATTAGTTTGCGGTAATTTAATCATAATTATCTTATTTCTTATCTATGTCTCTATGAAAACATATTTGCAGATAGAAGATGGAACTTACTTGGAGGAACCTGGGTCTGGTGCAGTAGCAACTATTGAGAACAAAACGGTATCGGTTGGTACGTTGGACTGGGTTCGAAGGTATTTATATATTTTTGATCTCCTAATCTTGGTTGACATGGCAGTTTTACTTTGGAATTCTTTGACCTTGACTTTGGAATTGGTTTCAAGGGGAAAATTATATTTTACCTGTCTTTTTTTCAGTCTTGAAGTCACCTTCGTCATTTGTCTAGCCTTGTTTCTGCCTGAACTTGGCATCTACTTGGAGTTGAACGCAGCAATTCTTTATGCAATTCAATTGTACTCCAGCTTAATTTTTCGTAAAATTTCGTAAAATCGTGTCACCATTTCTTCTCTTACCATCTCAAAAACAAATGTTCTTCTTTTACTACACTAGTGTTCTTTTGGATCCTTCAACTTCAACTTTGTGAGCTTCTCTGAGTGCATTCATTGGTCGATCTTGTGTTTGCTCAAACCATCCTATACCATGTCACTCATCTTGTCCTCAATTGACATTCCTTCCCGCTTCTCAAAAATATTTCTAATTTTTTAGGTTTTTTGGGTAATCTCTCTTTGCATGATGACTCATTGATCTCAGCTTCTCATTTCACCTATGATCGTCTGATAGCAGTTTAGTGTGTGGGTATAATTCCGCGAGTCATAAGAGTCAAATCTTAAGTCCATTTGGTCGTGTCTTGAAGATTGAAGATCGAAACCGAGTTGTGGTACATGCATTGAAGACTACATGTTTGGAATCCACTGGTTAGGCATGGTAAGTCGACCTAGATACCTAGTGAGCCTTAGTGGTTAAGTAGGATAACTTGACCACACTTTGAGTGATTCCTGCATGACCTATTTCATATTAAAAAAATACTGTTTTGAACACCATATTTAAGGTCATGATATGAAATCCAGATGAGCACTTGATGCTCAAATGAAGTCAAATCTGGATTGAGTGCCAAAATATTGAGGCTTGGCGCTCGAGTGAGCTCAACTGTGGAATTGAAAGCAGAATCGACAAGCGTGCGACTAGTGTTCAAGCCATCCTGTGAATCAGACTTGGTACTAGTCGCCGGCTAAGCATAGGAGATTCTGGAGATTTTGTTTCCTATTTGATGAGGACCTTTTCCAATGTAAATAGGAAGGCTATTCACGAATGGTCAAGGCAGCTAAACAGACAGAGTCTTCCAAAGGTTAAAAGAGGAGACCCTAACCTTCCAAGATAGAGATCAAGAATAAAAATCATTTAGCCGAGATTAATGGAATGAAACAAATCCCTAAATTGAGTGTCTGGCGTGAGAATCCTCTAGCTTCCAAGTTTGGAAGCATCATTCTTGGTGGATTTCCTTGAGGGAGTGTATCAATCGAGTATTCAATTGATAAGCGAATAGTGGATCTCAATTCGTAGTTCACTAGCGATGTCTAAGGTACTGGGGCGTTTAGCAGCTGATCAAGATTCTAGAGGAAAACCACAATCTGAGGAGTTGGGAGTTGGTGTATGTTTTTTGACTCGTACATATCGAGTCAATTCAAGTGGAGTTTTTTGGCCGGATTAGATCCATTAGTTTTTCTTGTTTGGGTTTCCACAAAAAAATAATGTGTCTTTGTATGATTCAATTGACTGATTGAATCAACCACACTGGCTCAATATATCCCAATATACTGATAATAGGTGGTTGAACGATCCTACTGTGATTGCATGGGATTTTTACTTGTTTATTACCACATTGAGCTTGATTGATTTATTTTTAATTCCGCAGAATCTGTGATTTTAGGTGTGTTGTTGTTTAACTGGTGAGAGATTTCATAAATTGGTTAAACAACTTATTCACTCTCCTCTAGGTTTGTCTTAGAGGATTGACATCGTTCTTATTAGGTAAGTTTCAACTGGTATCAAAGCCAAGTTCACCCAACTAGCTTTTACTTCCTGGGGTTTATTGATCAATAAACCATAGTTCTTATAAGTGGGAGCGACTATTCATGTTGGAAAGCTCGCATGGGAACATAATGTCTTTGGTCGAAAGGGTGTGGTTAACTATTTAGTTGGACTAGACTCCACACACTTTAGACTGTAGAAGAACAAGTGACCCTTAACCTACTTCTAAATGGATGAAGGATGATTTTGATGGTTGCGAGTGGAACACCAAGGGTCTTAATGTTATTTTTAATGTTATAAGCGTACATGAATTTCGGAGGATCTCAACATGCAGTAAAAGTTTATTAAATTTAAATTTTTGTACCGATCAATATTCCCAATCAGAGAATCGAGTCGTGGGTATATCTGTTTGCTTTCTCCTTATATTTCAGTACGTTATTAGATTTAGAGAACATTGCTAGAGAAACATGCATTACTTTTTTTTGCCAGGAAAATGTCTTATTCAATCTATAATAACAAATGGAAATAAGACGCTTGGGAAACAAAGACCATGTTTGGTTTGGATCTGAGAAAAGTTGTTTGGCCAATTATTTTTTATTTTTGTTTTTTGAAAACTGAGAACAAAAAGTGGATAGATTTAATAACAAGTTAGGGTTGTTTTGTATGTTTTTAGAAAAAATCTTTCCAGAATTTAGTAAACACCACCACCATCACCACCA